TCACATGCACAGCGGCTGTCTAAGTCTCCAGGGCTTATGAATCAAACCCAAAAAAAATCAACGTGTCAGAGAAGACACTTCAGTCAGGTTCGGAAGTTTAAGGTCTCAAAGCTGACGTGCACTCTTCCACAGTTATCCCAAGAGGTTTGAAAAGGTGTGTGTGTGTGCGTGGGTGTTAAGGTGCTAACATGTCAAGTGATGACTCAGAAGTAGATCAAGTGTGGAGGAAAAACTAAAGTGAAATGACAAAAATAGATGTGTGGAAAAGTCTTGACAAGGTTCTTAATATAGTAAATGCAGTTTTAATATTACAAGCAGTGAAAGAATACACTTTGTTTAAGCAACATCCACAGGAGAAATAACTTAGAAATCAGACTGGGTATTTTTCTTACCTGTGCAATGATTGAGTACTTTCAGATACAAAAACAACTAGCCTAGAAGCTTTATTTTATATTTAATCAAATCTAAAAATGAGGTAAGTCACGTGTTTCACTTCATGTCTTTTCATAATGCACACCTTCAATCAGTCACATTGTGTTGCTGCCTCTTTACAAGAGTCTGGATCAACACATCACCAGCCGTCCACTGGCGCCTCTGTTATCATCACACCATGTGCTGCGATACACGAAGGTCAAACAAAATCTCAACAGGAGGCATTGCCACAGGAGGGGGCTAAAGGGATTCATTTTTTTTGTTAAATTCAAAGGCAAAGTGAGATTGAACTATGTCGTTAACATGCTTTTCTTACTGTCTGTGTTAAATGTAATTAATTATCCTACTTTTGGCCCTTCATGGTGTTAATCTTATCTTTCCAGCAGCAGAGAGAAGAGAAGAGGCTTAACAAGGACTTAACCATTTTATGCTAGACTACCAAAAACACCTGACCTGAGCTCACCTGCAGCAGTTTGACTTCACCTGAAACCAGCCTGAGTTTCTCGCTGCAAACAGGCCCAGCAGCCTGACCCAGCTCTCTGCTTTCTTAACAAAAATCTATCAAAATCTAACCTGTCCCCATGGAGCGTGTCCAGCACATGACCAAGTCGGCCATACGTCGAGCATCCATGATCGAGGTGACTCCCCAGGTCAAGAGGAACCTGCAGGAACTCTTCGTCAACTTCACCCTCATCCTCATCTGCCTGCTGCTCATCTACATCATCGTCCTGCTGAGCAGCTGAGGGCCACAGGAGCCTGACACCGTGCAACATGGCAGATCTCTGTGGACGAGGGTTGGGTTGAGATGTGATCTATTAAGCAATAATTTATCAGCTCCATTTTTACAGCGTAATTCCTGACAGCTACGAAGAACGATCATGGAGGTCAAAGAAATCCATGTGAAAACAATATCTGGCCAAACCCTGTTAAAAAATGGGAGCTTCCCTGCCTCTTTTTCTTGAGGGAATGACCCAGCTTCAATAGTTTAAACTTCCCTGAAACATTGAATGTATATTTATGCTGCTCTTTCAGTCCCTGCTTACATTATAAAGTGTTTAGGTTGATTTAACCTCTTTATTCAAGCCATGTTGCATTTCAGTGTCTCCTGCTTTAAGGGAATTATATGTAATATTGTATGAAAAAAGAATAGACTTATGTTAAATATTTTGTAGAGTTATGATATAATAACAGTAAACTCTAGAAATCTCTAACTTGAATCAAGGAGTTTCATTTGCTCAACTTGTTAAGGACTTTAAACAAAGTGTTAAGCCACACTTTTGAAGACATAAGACGTATTTTAATTTACATTTTAACCATATAAAGGGTTTCAGTCAACTTTTATGCACATTTGGCTCCCTGTAAACACTTCCTGAAGTGAACCTCTGGAACTTATCTTTGAAAACAAGCTGAGCTAACGTTAGCATTAGCTCGCAGCCACATCCTGTCAACCAAACCTTATGGAGAATGTGAAACTGCTTTATTCAGAGTCTTTACTGGTTTTACTCACCGTTTCCACTTGTTTTGGAGAAGGTCTTTCTGGTTAATTCGGCTTGTGGTAAATGTCTGTATCTATGTCTGTCTGCATAGAGAACCAAGATGATAATGTTAGCTTCTGAGCTAACGTTAGCTGTTAGCTCGCAGCCCCTACATTCTATGTAAGCCGAATTGCGTTGGAAAAATAATGAGTTTAAACATGAAACAGTTTTATTTAGTGTTTTAACTGTTTTTCTCACATTGTACATTGTTTTGAAGAGAAGTAGAGCACCGTGGATAGTTCGGTAGACATGATAGTGTAAGCATTGGGGTGAGAGTTCATGTGTTTGAGGCATGCGCAGTCTCATTAGAAATGGCTTCTATGTAGTTACTCTCATTTAATTCACTATGTGAGTTATGGACTACTTTGCTTGGTTTTTAAAGTGTGCAAATAGAGATTTGTAAACATATGCTCACCACAAACAACCTGATAAAGACCTTATGCAGTGTATACGTTGTTGCAGACTTCACTTAGCATGGTGTGATTTCACTTAATGTTGTTATTGAGGAAACATGCAGTTCTTATATGTGTTTAAAGATTGCATCACCTGACTTTTAAACTATGAAACACTAATGGTCAGTAAAATTAAAATGTTTTCTCTTTCTGGAAGTGTGGAGAATTTGTTTTTTAATTTATTACACCTGCTGATTTTACATTTTTGTAACACACACACACACACACACACACACACACACACACACACACACACACACACACACACACACACACACACACACACACACACACACACACACACACACACAAAAGAGCACGACAGAAGGCTTTATCTCACAATCATAATTTACTGTTCCATAACATACAACAGAAATTATATAAATATAAATAAATATTGTTGCTATAATTGTTATATATTTTTTACTTCAAAAAAGACAAGACAGACATCATTAAATAATAAGTCACAAAGCTGTAATCAAATCACTTTCAACTCAAATACAAACTGCAACACATTTACCATTTCCTAAAGTGTAAAGATGTCACAATCTTTTCTTCCAGTTTTTCTGCGTTGAAAGTGAAGTGAAAAAAACCCTGATCAGCAAATCGTCACATACAACATTTTAACAAACAATTCAGATTTAATGAGTTGCAGTTTCTATGGTTCACTGATGGTCTGTTGATGCCAGTTTTAAAATAAAGCACATTTCCAGTTTCCTCTGCCAGGCTTTGAGAAGCTGTTCAGTTTGAAAGGTTACAACATTTAATAAAAAAAGACAAATCTCAGGGTAACAATGGACAGGGTCATGTGATGGTGAGAAAAGTCTTTAGCTCAGCGATAAAATCAAAGACAAATCGATCAAATGGCTCAGAGGAAAGGACATACATTACTCTCCAAACAATTCATAAAGTAAAAAAACAGATAAATAAATAAATAATTCAAATAATTTATATTTTATTTGTGATTTTACACGTTTTTTTGTTCATAAAAAACAATAAACAATATTGAAGATTATGTGATATGTGGATAAGCTTTGAACCTCAACTTTTGAGGCGACATTGACGAGAAAGTGCAGTAACAAATCAAAGTGCAAGGGGAAAAAAGCGGGGTTTTAAGTATCTGTAGTAAAAGGACAACAGAGCAAACTCTATCGGCTGACGAAGATCATGTGATATAATCAAAAGTTCACTGTATGGACCTTGTGGTTTCACTATCACTTTGAAACAGGGCAGCCTCCAGGGTGTGCTTCTTCAAATGGAAATAAAATAGTGAGAAAATGCATTAATTAAAAATCGCTTATAAGAAACTAAACACTTGTGCATTGTCTGATGCAGATGTTTGAGCGTAAATGTCAATATATCAACATATTCCTTTGAATAAATATATTCTTCACAGTGCGCATGGATCCCATATCATCCTCCGTATTTATTACAGGTCAATATTTACAACTAAACAATGTAATATCAGCTGTGGATATCAGGATCACTTTCCCATGACACATACACACAGGATCTCTCTCAACTTGGTTTCAGGAAGTGTTTTATCTGACACAACTGTTAATTTAGAGAAGCTGTGTTAATGTCATTTTACATGCAGTAAAATGAGCAGATGAAAAGGAAATGCTCTTTATGACAATTTAATGACCCGTCAAAAACCAATTTAGTAGATGTATGAGGATTGTATTATTAAAGTGTCTTTAAGATAAACAATGAAAACACTTCCTGTAACCATTGAGGCCTTTAGTGCAGGGGTCGGCAACCTTTTTGATATGAATTCAAGTGCCATTAAAAAAAAAGTATTTTATCAGCGTGCCGACGATCGTGTATTATCAGCGGGGAAGCAAGCAGTGTGTGGACCCGTCAGCGCAACTTACATGATGCCGAATTTAACAAACACATTTAAATAATTGGTTTAAACAGCATTATAATAAGGACGATCGTCCGTTCTGTGATTCTCCAGAACACGCAGATGGCCAGTCCGCCCCTGTGTAGCATGTTATTTCGATGAGAGATGAGCAGATCGCCACTGGGCTTTCAACTAAAGACACAGCCACGCAAAAACTGCGGCATTTGTACAGTTCCTTATGGGTACTGCCATTTGTGAAGTGCTTTCCTCTGTGGTGAAACGATCAGCCCTGCACCACGGAGGAAAGCGGCAGAAAGTCGCCTGGAGTTAAAGTGAGCGGGGCTGCGTTGCGTGCATGGCTTCCTTCTGCAGGTAACGTCTCGTTCAGGATCCGAAAATACAATTTAAATATTTTGCACACTTATTCCTATAGTGTGCCACTGGTTACGGTGCCGCGTGCCAGGGGTTGCCGACCCCTGCTTTAGTGGATTCAGCTATGGAAGACGAGCTGTGATGAAACGGTTTGTGTTGTCGTTGAAACAGGAAGTAAACTCTCAAACCTCACGTTTCTCTGTCCAATTTTCAGTAAGTAAGAAAAAGCCTTCCTCTGGCTGAAGGTGACCATGCAGTCTGGAAACTGTACAGGATACTGAATGGACTTCAAGTCATGAAAATGACACAAGAACGATGTAAACTTTCAAGTTAGAAAACAGACGGTACACCAAAAAACTGAACGTGTGAGGATTTCAAGTGAGTGACAGCAGCATCATCATGATAGTGTTTCTGTTTCCACATGCTCTAAGGTCTGTGTCCTGCAGAGAGGCGCAGCAGGAGGCTTCAGGCAGCGACATGAACACATAGCTTGCAATGAAAATAAAGTGTCTGATTAAACACTCCTTGGCATTAAAAAACGTTCAACATGTCGCTGACAGAACTCTCTTTCTGCACACCTCTGGTCCACCACATACAGACCATAGAAAAACAGTAGCATGTTACACATATTGCAATAACAAAAATATGAGGGGTGCTTGATTCCCTTCCTCTCCATGTTCCCCCTCCAGAGGTGTGGTAATCAAGCCCCCCTATTTGAAAATGACTTTCTGGGTACTGGGACAGGAAGCTAAAGTTAGGCTTTTTATTTTGCTGGTGTCGTCATTGTGGAGGACTGTAGATCATTTAGGTAAAAAAAACACCCGAATCAACAGCAGGGTTTGTCCCTTTTTCACAAACACATGTTTGAATGTGTGCATTTTCACATGGGGAGACAGCATGAATGACTAAAGGCGAGTATCAAGGCAAAAGACGTTCTCCTGGCTGAACCTCCAGTCAGATCACAGCGTGTAAGACACATGTTGATGTACAAAAAAAAAATCTTATATGAAGGTGAAAACATTTCCTCTTAATCTACAGTTACTAGTGTCACACTTTATACTCGCTGCGACAGTTTGTGACCTTTTTGTATGAGCTTAAGTACCCAGTTTCTGTTTCAAATATCATAAGGGATAATTATTTCATGGAGAATGTTTAAAGGCAGTTGTTTCTATCAGTTATGACAATTTATTTCCCTTCCACTTATCCATATATAACATGAAATAACTAAGTCATGATTTAAATATGCGTCTAATCGCCTCATTACATTAAAAGGTATGTGGGATACTTTGAAGGGTCTTAGGGTTAGGCTCTCACAACTTAAAGCTCGTACAAATGTCACATGTTGCAGACGGTATAAAAGTGTTAATGAATGCTACCATGCACACTTTCATGATCGGGCACTCATAATGCGCACCATGTATGAAAGCCCTAAGGTTGCAATCACACTGAAGCACACACTCAGTCCTGCACATGATGGACGTTTGATATATTAATGTCGTCCAAATGACTTTCAAAACCTACAGTTTCAACTTTAGCTCTCTGTCCCATTACCATCATTTCTTTTGACCGATTTTTTTTTGACAGTCAGAAAGTGAAGTACTGCGAGTACAGGTCCTCATCTTTTACTACGCACTCGAGGCTTTTTCCCGCCTCCACCCCCGATGGGTCGGGTGGGGTTGTGGCGTTGGGTTCAGGAAGGCTGAGGGAGGAAACAGAAGAGACGGAGAGACACTCAAACTGAGATTCACTAACATACAGTAACAGTGGCAGAGTGCTTCCCATTTGCGACGTGCACTTTGAAATCACTGCAGTTCTTTTGAATCAGTCACTTTCTTTGCAAGTTTGGTGAGAGTTTAGTGTGGACTGAGAGTATATTTCAAAGAGATTCTCTGAGAGATTGTGTGATAGTTCAATGATACGAAAAAGGAAAATGAGACGTTAAAGCATAATGGATCAAAAAGAGATTATATCTTCATTCGATTTCTCTGTTGACCCTGAACTAATGGAGAGAGACTGCAGCGATGTGAGAAATGAAAAGATTCCCATGTGATCCATTGCATTGTGGTGTGAGGGACAAAAAGCTCTAGTAAAACTCACATACTGTGCATTTAAGGAAATACAGTGTGGGCAAAGACATCATTTGGTAAAAAATGCACCAGACTGCGTACTTAGTGGTTGCAGATTTACAGATTTTCATTCCTGAAAAGCAGAAAAAAAGATGTGTCACTTCAGCTTTTGTCAAAATGCTAATATCAGGGTTCATACACCTTTTCACCAATGATTTTCAATGACTTTTCCATGACCTTTACCTAATTTTCCATGACCAAACAAATTACTCTTTCTCAGCGGTATCACTGAAAATGGTTTATTTTAACATGGAACAGGAAAATAAGGTCTGCATATAAAACATGTTGTGCCTATCTAAAAACAAATCAAATAGTAGGCTTACTAGCTTCTACACGCTAAAGCAACTAAAATCTCTCACCAGCAAAATACCTCGACAGTTAAATGCCATTTTACGTTTCATTACTATACAGTATTTATTATCATTATAGTATTACTATTTCGGCGATTAGATAAAATATAAATTATATTTGATGCAACTTTAGTTACATTTCCATGACTTTTCCAAAACTTTGGGAAAAATATTGTTTTCCATAACTTTTCCAGGGCCTGGAATTAGCATTTTGAATTTCCATGACTTTTCCAGGTTTTTAATGACCGTAAGAACCCTGTAATATCTACCTGTAAAGGAAATAATCCCTTCTTTAGCTAAGGGTAAGGGGTGAGGAAAAAGGGAAGGTAGCTAGGAGGTGAGGTGAGGTAGAGTGTTTGCAGAAGGTGACTCTCCGTGTGAAAGTAGAGGGGCAGCAGTGGCAGTAAGAGATTCATTCTCACCTCCTAACGCTCTGCTGTACCAGGGCTTCCTGAGGATGAGGAGCATGAGGAAGAGCAAGGCTTGACATGGGATGAAGTGGAGGATGAAGATAAGGAGGAGGAAGAGGAGGGAGCTGAGGAAGAGGAGAGAGAGAGGAAGAGGGCTGAACAGTGTGGAGGGAGCTGTCTAAAGTCTGAGGGGGGCGGAGCTTATTCCTCCACCTCCAGGGTTTAGTTTTGAGATAATGTGATTGGTAAATGAAATGCTGTTTTAGGTAATAACTCCACCATGAGCCAGAGGAGGAGAAGGAGGAGGAGGAGGAGGAGAGAGAGGAAGAAGAGGGCTGATGTTATGGTGCTGAAATCAAGCGCTATTGTTTCTGAATGTCTCCTGGGGTTCAACCGGAGCAGCTGTGAGCATCAGGAGGGTGATCAGCAGCTTTGTGCACAGAGATCATATCATGTAATGTTCACACACACAGGAGAATGGGATGATGCTGTGCTTTGATACCTCGTAGAGCTCAAACAATAGAATACACTTAAGGTAGGAATGGAAAGGGAAGGCTGAATAGAAGGTACATTATAACCAGAAAACAGACTAATATTCGAGTTAGAAAATATTACACCACCGTAGTATCTATGCCACAAGGGCCTATGGGTAATAAAACACTCACCTTGATGAGAGGGTTGATTACACCTACGTTGGCACTGGAGTTGAACACCTTGTTGAAGCCCGTCTCCCTGTTGACCAACTCCAGCTGGTAGAACTTCTTGTCGTCCTGAGAAAGACCATAAGACTGATAACAGAGGAAACCATTTTTGATAACTCATACTGCAGGACACTACATCTACTGGAATTGTGTTTTCATGCTTAAAAGGATCAAATGTGCCATTATTAGTTATGATGTTGGAGCATCAGGACTCACCACCAGCTTCTTCACCAGACCTTCTCTCTCTGTGACCATCTCTCTGAGATCTGCGATAACATGCAGGTCTTCTGGTCGGCTTTCTCTGTGTCTCAACTTGTCCTCTGTCCCCTCCAACCTTCACATACACATATACAAGTAAGATAACACGATGACAAGGAGAACGCAGTGATTCTGAGCCTGAGAATGCTGCAGAAGTGGCAACACAACAGCCTGAATGCCTCTCTGACTCACAGGAATTGCAGCGCAGTGATCTTGTCTTTGAGGACCTCCTGGGCCTTGTTGAAGTCAGCCAGGATGATCTGTGTTTCTCTGTGATGAACTATACTGATCTCCCCCAGATCCCTCTCATGTCTCCTTGAAAGGTCTTGTTCATGAGCCCTGCAGCAGAGAGAGAGAGACAACAATCATGAATAAACTACACTCGGAGAGAGACTTTTTGTTGGATTCGCTCAAAATGTTTCGAGTTCTTCTGAAGTTTACTATTTTTTCCCATAATCCATCTGACAAACAAACAAAAAGCACCTAAAATATTAAGATTGAGGTCTACTTTTATTAATACCCGAGGGGAAATTCAGTATTTCACTCTGGTGTTTTAAGTTCTTAATGTAAAAACATGAGTTTGTACTTTAAACAAAGTACATGTATGCACAAACTAAGTAAATATAAATTCATCATAGCATACGATTCACACTGGGGCATACTTGGGTTCAAATGCTTTTAATTATAAGCTGTCAGCTGGTTATTCCCACATGATGTGAGAGCAGGATTACTGCAAACTGGGTCAGAGACTGCTGAGTCACAGCTTTGAGGACATACATATAGTTGAGTGAGTTATGAGTGTATTCATGTTATCTTCCTGTGCACTGAACCTGATCTGATGGTTGGCCTCGCTCCGGACCCTCAGCACCTCTTTGCCCTTTATCTCCAGCTCTCGGGTCAGAGTGCTGATGGTCTCGTTCAGAGAGTGGATCTCGTGGTCCAGGTCCGTGATGCGGTTGCTACGGGAACACAGCTCCGCCTGCATGTCTGAGATGCGAACGATCAGCTCCTGTTCCTGGGAGGAGTCAGAAGATGTTAGAGGAAATAAAGCAGAATTAAACTGACTCTTTTGGAGAGACATGTACCTGCTGCTGGCTGTGCTCCAGTGCCTTCTCCAGCTCTCGTTTGGCAGAAGAGTTTTCTTTAAGGTGGATCTGCTTCAGATGCTCTATGGACGCAGCGTGGAGGTGGTTCAGCTCGGCACGAAGAGACGCTGCCAGATACATTACATGTTACTTGTTAGACGCTTTTATCCAAAGCGACTTACATACTCAATACTGTGGGTAATCCCAGGAACAAGCATCAACACAGCAGCAGGCTAAAAGCATCTTCACTGAGAGTATTACACGTTATTGCTTTGGTTTAAGAGATACCGCAGACTATATAACCACCACGGCCCCTAGTAGACCCCCACACAATAACACAGACTATAATACGCCTTGTTGTTAAATATGCATGATCTTAGTTAACATTAAGCTGTCTTTGGCTCTTTTCTGCTGTAACAAATGTAAATATCCCCTCTGTTGGACGAATAAAGGTATTCTGATTCTGATTAAACCAGTGTCCCCCCCCCACCCCCTGTGTTTCTCCTCAGTTACCCAGCTTGGCTTTGCCCTCGTCCTCCAGCTCAAAGCGCAGCGTCTGCAGCTCCTGGTCCGACTGCTGCCTCAGGATGTCTAGGGTCCTCCGGTGCGCCTCCTTCAGAGCGTGCACCTCCTCCCTCTGCTCCTGCTTCAGACGCTCCTCCAGGGTCTGAAACAGGACCATTACATAACACAGTTACATCAACAAATGGGTAGAGACAACGAGAGCCTGGAGGATGATTTGGCATTTCATGTGGGGAATTTGACTTTGCGTTTACGAAGCTGAAACGCAGAAGACAAACAATGTGTGTGTGTGTGTGTGTGTGTGTGTGTGTGTGTGTGTGTGTGTGTGTGTGTGTGTGTGTCCTACCCTGAACTGGTGTTGCCGGGCCTCCTCCATGGTGCTCAGTGCGCAGCAGTGAGCCTCCTGAAGTCGATGCTCTCTCCTCTGATGCTCTCTCTGCATCTCTGCAAACACACACACACACAGACATAAACATAAACAAAGACACAGTTATATATTAAATCAACTGTATCTTTCAACATTTATTTTGGTTTGTTATGTCTCAATACATCACAGTATGTCCTAATGCTTTCAACATGTTTTTAAAGCACTTTGAATTGCCTTGTTGTTGAAATGTACTTTTTAATAACATTTCATCTTATGCAAATGAGCAAAAATAACCTTGTCTTGTTTTCTGAAAACCTTAGAGCAGCTGACCTTTGAGCTGCTGGCTCAGCAGCTCCCTCTCCTGGTTGAACTGAGACTGCAGCTGCTGCAGAGAGGACTGAGACTGAGACAGCTGCAGCTCCAGAGACTGCTTCAGCAGAGAGATCTGAAACCAAGAAGAGTAGGAGGTGAAGAAACGCACAGATCAGAGAAACAGCAGCAAGGACACATTTCTTCTTGGTGGTTTGAGAAGTAATGTAACTCCAGGAAATAAATAAGTGGCTCCTGCAAACATTCAATTAGGTCAACATCTTTGAGCTGTCATTAATCCTCGTCAGACTGTTTGTCAGGATTTGTTCTGACAGCTTGTCACTGGTGGAGGTTGGTTTGACTCGCATATATACAGTATGCCAAACACTGAGAGCTGCAGTTGGAGAGTCCTGACAACAAGTGACAGCACACAGGGACAAATAACAACAAATCAGCGAGTGTAAGACAGAAAATAGATTTGTTTTGGCCAAAATGACGGCTCTGGCCCTCCACACGCCACTCAAGCTGAAGTAGTTAAACCCCCGCAGGATTTAGTGCTGGAGGAGAACTACATTAGTGGCTGCAAGGTAAGATGGATTTAAAATGAGAGGATGATGAGCAGGGCAGGGATGAAGGTGCTGGATCTGAGTTAAGAGTACAGTATATCCTCCACGATATCTGTTTGAATTAATCATTAAATACCTTAAACAACCTGCAGTAAATGTGTCCAAGCCTTCTTAATTAAACTCACAAATAACAGCCCGGGGCTTGTATTGAAAAAATCTTAAAGGAGAGGTGTCATGGCCATTTCCACTGATCATAATTCCATTGTTGAGGTGTACTAGAATAGATTTATATTCTGCATTTTTCCAAACTCACATTGGTTTCTCATCCAGCATCTCTGTAAACTACTTGTATTCACTGAATTTCACTATCTGCCTTTAACGGCTCGTTGTAGCTCCCAAAGCTCCAGCCCCCACCCTCCCTGTGAGCACAGTGTGCTCTGATTGGTCGGGACGTTGTGAATCGCGCTGAGCTCCGTGGAGGTGTTGTTTCCTTGTTTAGGATACATAGCGAAACACAGCCAAATTCATCCTGAGCACACACAAACTCACATCCGAAGTAAAAACAATAAGTGTGGCTTGATATTGAGTAAGACAAAGGTTGATAAACGCTGTGAGAATGGGTCTGCAGAGAGAATTTCGCCGCGATCCCAACTGTCTGTTATCAGCCTGCAGCCAGGGAGGAGAAATCAGCAGAGCTGCCTGCTCCCTGCACACAGATGTGTGTGTGAGGAAGTCCGTGGATCGGTCAATTTGGACCAATCAGCGGGGGCTTAACGTAACGGCTCCGCGGACGTAACGTAACGGCTCTTCGGGATTGGTCCATTTCGTTCCGGGTACCGCTTGACATCATGCCGTACCCGGAACGAAATGGAAGACTCAAATGGGCAGTGACGTATCTCCAACGAGGCGTTTTGGGGAGGTATTTTCTGTGTTAGAGTTTTACTCGCTACAGGGTGTACTTTGAGGGTTTTGACTTTGCACACCGTTTACATGCATAAAAACCTTCATAACACACAAGGGGACGGGTAATAACCGGGAAAAGCATGACACCTCTCCTTTAATGAAAAAAATGTCATTATAGATAAGAAAGCCACACACACACACACACACACACACACACACACACACCACACACACACACACACACACACACACACACACACACACACACACACACACACACACACACACACCACACACACACACACCACACACACCACACACACACACACACACACACACACACATCACACACCACCACACACACATCACACACACACACACACACACACACACACACACACACACACAGCCACACACACACACACACACACACCACACACACACACACACTTACACCACACACACACACACACACACACACTAATTCCCAGAAGAACAGTAAAGCGCTCTGACTAACTTCTCTATGGAGCTATTTCTGTCCATTACCTCTGTTCTCGGCCCAGAGCGATGCAGAATGGAAGAAAAAAACAGCTGCTGTGTTTTTTAATTAGTCTTTCTTCAAAGCCCATATCTCTCCTCATATGTAGGATGTACATACATTTCAGAAGAGAGTGTGTGGGCACCATGTGTTTGTAATTAATCGTCAGCCCTCCTTATAGAGAATGTTTCTAATGGATGTGGAAATATGCAGAGGTTCAGAAAGCTCTGCAGAAGCAGGACGATTGGAGGTTTTGTTTAAAGCTCAGTCGACTTATACCCATGAACCCATCCGTGATGAGCCGGCTGCCTCGGGGTAATTCAGAGCTGAGCTGAGTCACAACCTGAAAGAGACTCGCAGGGTTTTGCCAAAATGCCAATTTGTCCTCAGAAAAACAAACACAGAGCCGGCCAGATCCAAGACTTTTTCAGATGCCCCCTACGCAAAACATACGTAACAGAGGTGCTCATAGCAAAGAAAATCCAAAAATAAATAGTCCGTCCTTATTAAACAAAGCTCTTTATATCTGATAATAGGATCCTGCAGTGAGGTTATCTGAGTCTGCTGCACTGTGTGAATGCGTCACAGTTCAGAACGCTGCATTTCAACCTGATCATGCAGAGTGGCTAAAAAATAAACATCAAACAATGACACAGACCAAATACCTGTGTGTGTATGTGTGTGTGTGTGTGTGTGTGTGTGTGTGTGTGTGTGTGTGTGTGTGTTGTGTGTGTGTGTGTGTGGTGTGTGTGTGTGTGTGTGTGTGTGTGTGTGTGTGTGTGTGTGTGTGTGTGTGTGTGTGTGTGTGTGTGTGTGTGAATAGAGTCTTATCCTCTGACAGACACATTTTCTGCTCCAGGCCTTTAAATCCAATGGAGCTGTCAATCAAAGTGTTTCCCAAAGGGGACGGAGCGGTTATGGGTGCGCCTATTTCTTTCAAAGCCAGGAAATAGATTGATAACATGGATTTAAATTAACTGTGTTATGCTATAGAATATATTTCCAAGGATTTTCCTCAACAAAAGACACCACCTCTGAAGAAAACGGACCACTATTCTCACTGCAAAACCCACATAAAGAAAAACTGTGTCGCCTCCAAAAAACAGATACCGTGTTATTTTGTGCACCTGTGCAGTGTGAGGTGCCAGTGTGTGACGCAGGTAGTTTAACACACAGAGAGCTACGCTGGAGGTGCTCCTTATGTTGTGGCTTTTGAAGCTATGCAGAATAAATGTGTGCATAACAGAAAGTGGAACAATTAAAAACCGATTACAAAAAAGCTTTTTATTTATCTCAGACTGCCTGTGCTCTGTTGTGATTGGTCACCCGCTTAGAGATGCCCCGCCTCTAATTCTATCACATACAATGGGTGCGTCTCACTTCGGTTATTTTTCATTTCCTCGCTCCTCGGGCTCGGTATCACCGGAAGTTGATTTGTCTGCGCCATCTTGAGTACCGTCCTAGTGGCCTTATTTTTTAATAAGAAATCCTCAGACACTCGCCCCGCCCCCTTACTGTGTATCGCTCACTGATTGGACGATGCAGCGCATGCACTGATCTGGCTGCTGTCACACGATCAGACTTCTCGTGGTTTCCTCGCGTCTCTCCATGCTTCCCTGGTGGGAGAGACTAGTCGCAGGGAAACGACGCAAGTGAGGGACGCAAGGAATCCATTTAACCGAAGTGAGATGCACCTAGAGTGTCTGGAGTGCTAGCCAACAGAAGCGTGGGTGTTACGTAGTGATGTCACTCTGTTCTTGTGGATGTTAACCTTTGCAGACCATTTACATGCACATAAACCCTCTATAACACACTACAGGAAAGGGGAGAAAGTGTGTGGTTTGTACCTGTTCCAGCAGGTCCTCCACCTTCCTCTGCCAGCCTTCTCTGGACGCCATCATCTCCAGATCTTTCTGCTGCGAGACCTGAGTCATCGCCCCCTGTTTGTCAGCTTCATACTCCTCCGTCAGCTCCTCCTTCAACAGATGCACCTCCTCCCTGCAGAGAAAAGGCCACACTTTTTGGTCTGTTGTACCTTTTATGCATCGTTTACTGCGACTGTAAATATCGTACGCCTTCTTAAACTTGTGTTAATTCCCCCTCTGTTGTTATCGTTATCAGTGAGCGCTTTAGGAAACAAGTTAATAGCGAGTGTGATGGTGGAGCAGAGGGGGCGAGACATGACAGAGATGGATGAGGAAACAAATGGGACGAGCACCAGAGAGTGAAACTGACAGGCTGACAAAGAGTGTAACACATCCGAGGAGTGTTTTTTTGGCTTACTAACCGCAGTGCATTTCTCCACTTCTGGTCCAAGTCGTCTGCCATCTTGTCCATCTTCTGTTTCTCTTCTGTTCGGATGGACATCACTCTGGCGTCGTGCTGCTGCCGCTGGGTCTCGATCTCCTCCTTTAAACACAAACAGGACAGACTTAATACGATCTTAATAATATCTTCCAACTTGCCTTTTTTAGACTTTTACATGCCTTCCTTCCCCTTAGAGGCACAATCAGAACTGCTTGTCAGATAATAATACTAATCAAGACAGACTTTAGCCTTAATACAACCTTTAAGATGCTGATTTTTAGACTTTTACATGCCTTCCCCTTCCCCTTAAAAGTAAGTGTGGCTAGGTTTGCTAACTTTAGTTTCTCAGCCAGTCTACAACGTGTGCTAATCAAATGTACCGAATGTGATAATCCTCATCCAATAAAGAGTTGGTAACGTCATCCAGCGTTTGCCACTCGACAGCTAAATCATTAACGACAACAATGGGAAGCCGCTCAAAGTGAGCAGCTCTCCTCCGACTGCTCTGACCAGATGCAGCTTTTCACTAGCTGCACGACGGATGACTCATAATGCCACCTCCACAGATATTTATAAAGCTGCAGGGCATTTAAAATGTGCCGCTTGCAAAGCAGAAAGTATGTTCAGCAGGTCGGAGGTTTATCTGCTGTTCAACACCCAAAGGCTCACCTGTGCTTTAAATCCAGATTTCAAATGTTTAGCATCTAAGAAACGATGTGTAAGAAGAAGACTATTAATATCTACAAAATTGACAGAACTTTACATATACTGTTCGGTTCATCTTCCTGTCTTTTTATGGAGATGATCAGATTCCCTCAGTAAGATCCTGTGTGTTTTATAACGGTCCAAATCCTCTCTTTTTACAGAGCGCCACTCTGTCCCTGTGTCCGCGCTCACCCCTTTATTACATCTTTTATTGGGCATTGTATATCCACTGGTTTTATTTGCACCAGCTGTGGCTTTAATTAATATCTTCATCTGTGTCCAAGCTGGTGCTGGACACTCTTTCTGTTTCCTGTTCTGTCCAACATGACCTACAATTAATACAAATAATGTCTTTCCTCATCTCCCACGCACGCACGCACGCACGCACGCACGCACGCACGCACGCAGGCAGGCACCCTCGCACGCACGCACGCTCGCACGCACGCACTCACGCACGCACGCACGCACGCACGCACTCACGCACGCACGCACGCACGCACGCACGCACGCACGCTCGCTCGCACGCACGCTCGCACGTACGCACGCACGCTCGCACGCACGCACGCACGCACGCACGCACGCACACACACACACACACTTCCTGTTTCTATACCAGAATCAGTATCTTTTCAAACACACACACACTTGAAATCGCCTCATCATCATTATCTAACAGCTGGCCTACAGAGCTGCACTTATTCCTCGGTTGAATCTCATTTCCTGCCTCGAGATGTCCTTCCTCTCTCCATCCTTCCCTATTTCTCGGAAATCTTTGGAGGCAAGTCGCTTTCCTGCACTACCGATGAAGCAATTACAGATTAAAGATTGCTCTGACAAGACATCGGCGTGTATTTACCGCTGCTTAAAAGGTAGACTTCAATGGGAAGGATCCAGATGAATTAACTCCAGCTAATTGATAATGCTAACCTAGATTAGCTGAACATGCAGAAATGTAAAATGTGTCTACAGGCGAGCATAATATTCAACCTAATGGGGAATAAAGGTTTCAATAATACATCAATAATATTCTCCTATATTACATTCATGTTTAATTATAATTAGTTTCAAATTACGTCGGAAACTTACCTGTAAATTAAAGCGTCACCTATATTGAAGTTATTTTCACACTTATATAGATATATTCATCATTATCATTCACATCTGTACAGTATATATGTTAACAGTTTGACGTACTTCTATTGTTTAGTTACAATTTGTATTTCTCCCTCTGTCTGTCGTTGCTGCTTTGACACCCGAGTATTATTTTATCATATTTCACTCTCTTATTTTCCTCCTCAGTACCCCCCTCACCTGCAGGTCTGTCAGCAGGTTGCTGGTCTCTCGGACCCTCGCCCTCGTGGCGTCCAGCTCGATCCTCAGTTTGTCTTGAGTTTCCCTCAGACAGCTGATCTGAGTCTGAGCCGAGTTCATGTTCTGCTGCCCCTCCCTCACCAGCTCCTGCAGGTGGGACACCTGAGCACATCCATGGAGGAAGTTATCATCATCATCATCATCATCATCATCATCATCATCAAAGGAAGAAGAAAATGTTGTTACGTTTATGGACTCTATGTCACGTTAGTCAGAAAGATTTCAATTAAGAGAAACCTGCTGCAGCTTCTAAAACAGATGCAATTTGACAACACTAGAAAATATCAATTTGACATCACATGAGAGTTTAGAAAAATATAAATCCATTGCAAGAAGCTAAAAAGACAACAGGACCTGTTTACTAAAATGTTAGGGGCATGTGTTTTATTCTTCTTAAGGATTATGAAGTTATAATCCATGTGTCAGTGTTGTCAGAAACTCACTAAAATGAACAGCTTACTTTAACATTGTGATCACATGGGTACCTCCTGATTGGCCATGTTGCATTTAAGGACTCTAAGTTACGTTAGTCGGATATATTTCAATTAAGAGAAACCTGCTGCAGCTTCAGAAAGGAAACAAACACATGCAATATGTTTTCCAATTTGACAACACTAGAAAATATCAATTTGACGTCACATGAGTGTTTGAAGAAATATAAACCCATTGCAAGAAGCTAAAACGACAACAGGAACGGTTTACTAAAATGTTAGGGGCATGTGTTGAAGTTATAGTCGTGAATTATTTGTCAGTGTTGCTAGAAACTCACTAAAATGAACAGTTTTGGTTTATTTTTGATCACATAGCCTGGGTACCTCCTGATTGGCCATGTTGAGTTTGGCCGACAGCTCCTCCTTCAGGTTGTCGAGCTGCTGCTGGAGGCGATCTCTCTGCTCCTCCAACGACATACGCTTGATCTCAAACTCCTGACACATTTTCTGCACAGGAGAAGAAGAGAGATGGCATTCAAATAACATTAATGACAAAACCACATTATTTTAACACTCGAAAAGACAAATGATGAGATGTTTTCTTTCTTCTAGGGAGGCTGTGGCTCAGTGGGTAGTGTGCTGGACTTCGAATCAGGGGATAGCAAGTTCGAGTCGCACTGCAGTCAGCATGTCGTTGTGTCCCTGAGACACTTCACCCCAAATTGCTCCTGTGGGGATTGCCCACAGTACTGAATGTATGTTAAGTCGCTTTGGATAAAAGCGGCCATCTCATATAACCAACCAACCGGCGTCTATAATCCTTCAAAACACCACCAGATTCTTTACGCATCCTGGCACTGAAATCTACAGTGGATATGTTTTCTATGGAAGAAAAAGCAGCAGAAATCATGGTGTTTTTCTGCATTTCAGCACGTTGTATAGAAGAAATACAGTACCGCTGGATTCTAGTGTCACTGTGTTTCCCTTCATCGCGCTAACATCTGCTGAGTGAATGATAATTGAGTATGTTTCCCACCCCCACATGAGCAATTCTCACCATGCAATCTGAGATGAATGCCAGTAGAGCTGCTGAATATAATCATATACAGTGAAGCAATGGAAATGTGTCACTTATTATGGGTTTTTGTAATTATGTAAATAAATGTTTAAGGCAATACTAGAATCTTGGGATCAATGTACTTTGATTTATTAGATTATTTTAATTATTGAATGAGCCAAAAATCACACATTCCCATCTATCTGTAAATAGTTTGTTGACTATATTTCCGTTTTTACTTATTCCCTTTTACACCGAAGGCTACAAAAGTCAGAACAATTTATTTGGCTTATGAATATCACATGATGATGCATTAATTGTGGGTAGCTGAGTTATTTATAGGAGGGACTTATCTCCACATGGAGCTTTAAATATATATGATAGCATAATTCATCCCTCCCAGTCGTCTGAGGGTGTGAAACATTGTTACCATGAGAATCTCTCCAAGCTCTATTTCCCTCAAACGTTGTGAGACGTGAGAGAAATTTAAATCAAGCGCTCCTCTTATCTTATTCCCGAAGGATCAGAGCAGTAATCCACTTTCTCCTTTTATAACCCAATTACTGTAGATGTGCCTGTATCACACTGCAGAGAGGTCAGAGGTCACATTAAGGAACCAATGCTAATTAAATAAACACTGAGAATAAATACCCTCACAAAATCACAATCAAAATATGGATTTTACACAAGGATTGTATCATCAAAATACAATACGGGTTGATATGAGTATGTAGTGTCTCTACTTTAAAGAGTCCTCTCCTGCTGATGTTCAGGTGTATATCAGTATGCAGTGTCTCTACTTTAAAGAGTCCTCTCCTGCTGATGTTCAGGTGTATATCAGTATGTAGTGTCTCTACTTTAAAGAGTCCTCTCCTGCTGATGTTCAGGTGTATATCAGTATGTAGTGTCTCTACTTTAAAGAGTCCTCTCCTGCTGATGTTCAGGTTGTATATCAGTATGTAGTGTCTCTACTTTAAAGAGTCCTCTCCTGCTGATGTTCAGGTGTATATCAGTATGTAGTGTCTCTACTTTAAAGAGTCCTCTCCTGCTGATGTTCAGGTGTATATCAGTATGAAGTGTCTCTACGGCCCTGTTGTGATTGGTCAACGGCTTAGAGATGTCCCGCCCCTTATTATATTTTAAGACAAGACACTGTGTCAGAGTTACCTCAATCTAGAAAGAATAACCCACCGTACAAATTAAATATTAATTAACATCCACAGCAGAAAGGAGATCTGGAGATATGACTGAGAGCCTCTTAAAGTAGACTGTGGTGAAAGATGAATTAATACAGCGGAAGCAATTTGTACAATTGTATCGCCCTGGTTTAGAAAGCCGTTAATATTCTGCTGACAAAAAATGACCAGTTTCTTCTTCCTCTTTCCCTCTCTGATAAATAAATAAAAACCATCATTAATCTAAAGATGACTAGGCGCAGCTTACGTAATATTTTCATAATTTCTCTCTCCATCTCCACTCTCTTTCCTTTCAGGGAATCAGGCAGGATTTAATGTCAATGAAAATCATCCAATTAGCAGTCAGCTTCAAACAGCATTGGAAACTCCAGAGGGGGGGGGGGGGGGGGGGGGAATAAGAGAGGGAAATGTTATGAAAGAGGAGAGGTATAGGAAGAGACAGAGGGAGAACACAGGGTTCAAAATTATTTAGGATTTGAGAAGTGATCATTTCGGAGACTGAATAAGCGTATATCGTGCTGCCTTCATGCCTCTGAGCTCAGTCCCTTTCACTGGACGTCAACAGGACTCTAAATGCTCGCTGAATGCAGGTGGAGTCATGTGAGCGTGAGTAAATGTGGTGTAATGTGGTGTAAGGGCGAGAAAAACAAGCGCTCCTCCTCTTGTACCATCCCAGCAGGAAATGATAATAATAATAAAGCAAAGATAATGTCTAGTGCAGAAGTCGTGTGATTGGTGGATTTTAAGTGACGTCATCCTGAGTCATCGGCCCGTCATGGAGCCACGAGGGTGAATCTTATTTCTGTGACTCACCGTAGGACACGCTGCACTTTAAAGGTCCCATGTCATGGCCATTTCTACTGATCATATTTCCATTGTTGAGGTCTACTAGAATATATTTACATTGTGCAATGTTCCAAACTCACTTTGGTTTCTCATACAGCATCTCTGTATAGCATGTGTATTCACTCTCTGTCCTACACGGCTTGTTGGAGCCCCCCCCTCCCTGTGAGCCCAGTGTGCTCTGATTGGTCGGGACGTTGCGAGGCTCGTTGCTGCTCCGAGGAGCGGACAGGTTTCCGGGTCGGCGATACAGTGAGAACAAGCAAAACTCATCCTGAGCACACACAAACACTCACAGCCGAAGTAAAAACAATAAGTGTGGCTTGATATTGAGAAAGAAAAAGGTTTATAACGCTGTGAGAATGGGTCTGCGGAGAGCATTTCTCCACCATCCCAACTCGTCTATTACCAGCGTTCAGGGAGCTCTATGCAAGTCAATGGGACTCCCTGTTTGTTAGCCAAGGGATCCTGGTGTGTGAGGTGCTCCAAGGATTGGTCCATTTGGGCCAATCCGGTCATTTGTTGTTGATCTGGGTGTTCACACGTCACAGAACCCAGGAAGCAAACAATGGAACATGAGAAATGTCCAACGAGGCGTTCTGGGGCAGCATAGACAGGTCTTTTCTGTGTTAGAGTTTTACTCGCTACAGGGTGTACTTTGAGGGTTTGTGACTCTGCAGACCGTTTACATGCAGAAAAACCTTCATAACACACAAGGGGACGGGTGATAACAGGAAAAGCATGACATGGGACCTTTTAAATGCTCCTTTTTTCTTCTTCTATGGTGTCTAAAAGGGGCTTCCTAAGATAGTGTGATAGTAGCTCTCAGACTGCAGTGGATCTTATGTGTCATGAATAAGTAAAACCAGGATGAAAGGAGGCGTCTTGTGTCATCACAGGAAAGAAGTCTACAGTATACTACGTTGATATCGTAATTCTATGGTTTTAGAGGCTGCATTACAGTAAAGTGATCGTAGTCATTAAATCCACATGTTGTCCCGGATGACAACATGATGAAAAAGTGACGAAACTGCAGACACACACATGCAGACGGCAGAGCATCTTTCATACTCAGAGGCTTTAAAATAAATCACAGACTGGCCAGAAACTGTTCCTCTACATGCTCACAATCATTTGTTGTTTGGACTGTATGTACCTGTCCCTGAGTCTGGTGGTCTTTGGGACGTTCATTTGTTTAGACATTGAAGAGAGGAGAGTGAATAAAGGAAAGAGACAGCAGTGACAGGAGGAAATCCGCAGAGGGAACGCAGGCAGAGAGTGATGTTGTTTTCCCGTCTTAGTCTTAATGTTGACCTAATTAAATGTGTGCAGTCGGATGAGGGAGCTGCTCATTTCTCAGGGAAACATATTTCCTTAAACGACAGAAGCCCATTGTTCTGAGGAGGAAATGTAATTGCTGATGGTGCGGCACAGGTAAACCCTCAAGAGTTGGGTGTAATTACTGTTTTTATATGAAAATGAAACTCCCATTGTGGCTTTTTCTATGTTTCACCACCTTAGGGTTTATATATGAAGTCATAAAGGGGAGAATACACATCCTCTGAAGCTGATGTCCTCGCTGCATGTGTCCACATATCTTAAAATAGACGGACCACAGGAGGATAAATCTGCTGAGCTTTGATTCTGTTGCATTGACAGCTGCTTTGACAGCAGTGTGTAAATATAAAATCCAGCCATATGGTAACACAGTCAGTGTTTCCTTTAGGACTAAATTACTGTCACTTCAACGGCATTATTTCATTTACACCGAGTTCTTTGGATCTAAAAACAAAGATGAATGATATTTCTCAGAATCCCTTGTACTCACGGCCATGTGTATCTTCCTCTCCTCCTCCTTCTCCTGCTGAGCCTCCTCCCTCAGGGCCTGGTGCTTCCCCTCCAGCTCCTCCAGCGCTCGGACCTGCGCCTCCTTGAAGCGATGCATCTCCTCCTCGTAGTGCGAGCGCAGCTGGCACAGCTCCTTCTCGTAGCCCTGGTGCTCCTCACGCAGAGACTGGGGGGGAACAGAAGGTGGTTTTATTGGATTAATGGACGACAAACTGCACGGGGCTTTCTACTTTGACTTTAAAGGTGTCCAATGCACTTTCTGATGTCTTTTATACATAAATATGTGTCCCCGGTGTGTCAGGGAACTCACGCAGCGTCAGAAAATAAAACCCTCTCTCTTTTCCTCCGTACCCAAATCTCTAAAAACGGGGCTACAACGGAGCTGATCCAGATTTGCGTCCGATATGACGTAATATCGGAAATGTAGGCTGGCTTTACACCCACGACCCAATCAGAAACGTTGCTATCAGAAACAATGCCCGACTGTTTTGGACGTAATATGGTCGGTGTTTACATTAGCAAACATCGCTAACACTCAGAGCTAACGCAGTACTGGAGAGAGCAGAGACTGGGGGGAACAGAGCATTAAAAAAGGTGTTTTTTTACCTACCTTGCCACACTATGGGTCTAGAAGGCTGGCAATAAGAATGGCATAAACTCAAATGTTTTGTTTTGTTTCTACTGTTCCTCTGAAGATCCTACCTGCTCCAGCCGCACCACGGTCTGTTTGTGCTGCTCGCTGCAGTTCTGGCTCTGGTTCAGCACCGCCTCGCGCTCCTCCTCCAGCCGGCACAGCTTCTCCTTCAGCCGGCTCTGCTCCTGGTCCAGGCTCCTGATGGTCGCCTCGTGGGACATCTGGGTGGCCTGCAGCGAGCCGATCTGACCTGGGAACAGTCGGATCAGAGAGTGGGACACAGGTGAGCTTCACAATGAAATGAGTGTTTGGCTTCGTTGTTGCTTTACTGCTGAGGCGACAGTTTCATCAACATGTGCTGCAACTGGAGCACAGATACAGAAGGAGCTGTTGCCATTCTTGGGCCAGGACTCTCTTGAAAAAGAGATTTTAACCTATCCTGGTTAAATAAGACTGTTAAACACCTCAACTAGAACATCCATAGAATTCTAGGGCTGTCGCGAATACCATTTTTCGGGCTCCGGATATTCGGTAGTAATCAGCAGCGAATATTCTAATATTCGGGGGGGAGTAGTAATCAGCAGCGAACCGCTTCAACACGTGTATTTCGGTTTATTCATGGCATTCATTTTGTTATTCTACAGTATTGTTGTTTTATAGTTATTTGTTAATGTATACAACCCAATTTGTGTTCTTTGAAATTGAAAAGGATATCGCATTGTGTTTGTTACTGTGACTTAACATAACTACACTCTAGCTATGTACGAATGACAATAAAAGCCTTGAATCTTGAATCCTTGAATAAAGGTATAATAGAATAAAGAAACCCATCTCACTGGCTTTGTGCAGGATCTCCGTGGCCTGCTGCTGGACTCTCTCTCTGCTTCCCTCCAGCTCGTACTCCGTGTCCTTCAGCTGCATCACCCAGATCTCCCCGTCCTGCACCGCCTCCTCCAGCTGCTTGTGCAGGTTCTACACACACACACAGTAAACATTCACAATTAGACTGCAACAGTCAGTATTTCAAAAAGAAACAAACCCAGTCATCATATCTCTCTCCCACCACAGCACCCAGTCACAAAAAGCTCTGTAATCTAACTGTTCAGACGGGCCTGCAGCTCCATCAGTGCCGACACATTACATCTCCACAAAACACCACTTTCCTGAAAACCATCTCCGCCCTGAGGCTTTTGTTTCTTCCTTCAACTGTTTTTCATCCGAGTTAACCCACTTTCCTTCCCACATTTTACCAAAGGAAGACTCTCTTACTCTTAATCTTTGATTGAAATACTGTAAATAAGAGAAAATACATTTGTAAAAATTGTTTTTGGGGAGGTTATGAATTGAATTTTCCCCACACTTCTTATACTTCCGTGTGGTGTTAAACAATTCCGTGTTTGGTTGCCTTGGTTCATCCAGCTATTGATCTGTATGTCCGTCAACACACACACACACACACCTTGATGGTCCCCTCTGCGTTGGCCAGTGATGTCTGCAGGCGGTTGGTTCGGTCCCGGTTCTCCCTCGCCTCCTCCTGAGCTTTCTGCAGCTCGCTCCTCAGTTTCCCCAGAGAGCGCTGCAGCGACGTCTCCTGAGCCTGGAACTCCTTACGCAGCTCCACCTGAGACAGTTACACACTTTAGCTCAGGGGTGTCCAACATCTTTTCACCGAGGGCCACATACAGAAAAATATACGAAGGGCTGGGCCAATAGGAAGAGTTTATTTCAAGCTTGTTATGTAAATAAGTTATTGGGCTTTTTTTTATTATCAACTAACATTTGTTTTCAGCTTTAACTGACTGAATGTATTTGAAGTTGTCTTTGTAACACATAAACACTACTGTGTAATATGTGTTTTCATCTATATTTAAGAAGTACAATACAAGACAAGTACAAGTTTTATTTGTGGGCCATATTTCATTATACTTTTTGAATTTGAGTCAGTCTTTGTTTGTGTTCCTTTACCTCGGTCCTCTTCCAGGCCAGCAGGTTCTCCGTGGTCAGCTGGTGCGTCCTCCTCATGGCCTCCAGCTCCCGCTCATAATACTCCTGAGCTTTGCCCAGCTTCCCCTCAAACTCCTCCACCAGACGCACCTTGTCCTTCGTGATCTCCTCCACCCGCTCCATCAGCGCCTCCACCTGCAAAGAGAGACGGAGAAATGAAGAGCGAGGCTTCCTTTTCCTTCCTGAATGAAACCACAAAATCCCTTGTATTGGATTGTTAACAGTTGAGAGGAAAATGGGAATAAAACAAGGGGATGACATGCAACAATGGTCAGATTATAAACACTGCATGTTTGTTGTTACTGGTAAACCAACTGCACCAACAAAACATCCCTATTTTTCAGCTTTTAAAGGCATAAAACTTTCCAAAACAGCAATTACTCCATTGAGTAACTTGCCGTACAGATGCTTCAATCCAAAGAAAAGTAGCTGTCTCTCTCCCTCCCTGCTCCCACCTCTTGTCTGTGCAGCTCGGCCAGCCTCTCCTGGTCCTCTGTGGAGGAGGCGCTCTGGTTCTGCTGGTTGTTCAGGAGCTCCTCCACCTCCTGGCGGTGCGTGGCTCTCAGATCCTCCAGCGCTCGCCGTTTCTCCGCCTCAAACTGCGCCTGAGCCTGGCTGAACGCCCGCAGCTTCTCCTCAAAATCCCGACGCATCTCCTCCACCTATTGAGACCACGGGACATTTTCTATTCTGTGTTGTTTGTGAGTCACTGCCAGCTCACGCTCACCCTCTGCCAAAACTAAAAACTCCATCTGGTATAATAAAAAGTGTCAAATATCAGATTCTTAAACCACATTCTGTCAGTTTTCTTTGCAGCTTCTCTTAACAACAGTAACCCGTCCTTTACAGACATGAGGTGGAGAAAATATACAAAAATGATGTTATGGTGATGTTATGGTGAGGAAGACGAGGGACTAACACACACCGAACCCAACAAATGATC